ACTACTACTGCTACTACTACTGCTACTGCTATTACTACTACTGCTACTACTATTACTACTACTGCTACCACTATTACTACTACTACTACTACTGCTACTACTACTGCTACTGCTATTACTACTACTGCTACTACTATTACTACTACTGCTACCACTATTACTACTACTACTACTACTGCTACTACTACTACTACTACTACTACTACTACTACTACTACTACTACTACTACTACTACTACTACTACTACTACTACTACTACTACTACTACTACTACTGCTGCTACTACTACTGCTACTGCTATTACTACTACTGCTACTACTACTACTACTACTACTACTACTGCTACTACTACTGCTACTACTACTGCTACTGCTACTACTGAAGTCTGTTCTGAGCAGTCTGTTACCTTACTGCCCTTCATTCTGGAATATTCCCAAAGGCCCTGAAAACTGCAGTCATCAGGCCCCTGCTAAAAAAGAGCAGTCTGGATGCCACTGTACTTAACAACTATCGTCTTTATGGGGAAATACAGCTTACTAGATTTCTTATAATCAACAACTTTTTTGAAAGCGCCTTTCAGACCCCCCACAGCACTGAGACTGCTCTCGTTAAGGTTACAAACGATATCCGGCTGAACAAAAGTCTCAATCTTAATATTGTTAGATCTCAAGTGCTGCCTTTGACACCGTCGACCATGAGATCCTCTTACAGAGACTAGAGGACTGGGTTGGCGTCACTGGCACCGCCCTAAGTTGGTTTAGGTCTTACCTTGAAGACAGGAAGTACTTTGTGGAGATTGGAAACTGTGTCTCAGATCATATGGCCCTGACCTGTGGAGTCCCACAGGGGTCGATCCTGGGACCTCTTCTGTTCAATCTCTACATGCTGCCGTTAGGTCAGTTAATACGCAGAAACAAAGTTTCCTATCATAACTATGCAGACGACACTCAGATCTATGTCTCACTGACTGCAGGAGAACATGGACCAGTGGACTCACTCCTTCACTGTATCCAACAGATCAGTGAGTGGATGCAAAACAACTTCCTTCAGCTAAACGCAGACAAAACTGAAATGATTGTCTTTGGTCCCCAGAAACAAAGAGAGAGCGTCATCTGTCACCTACAGTCTCTCTCCCTAAAACCTTCAAACAAGGTCAGAAATCTAGGGGTAATACTGGACTCAGACTTAAATTTTAATAGCCACATCAAATCAGTAACATCAGCAGCTTTTTACCATCTAAAAAACATTGCCAGGATCAAAAACATAGTGTCTAAAGCAGACTTGGAGATTCTTATCCATGCATTTGTCTCCAGTAGGTTAGACTACTGCAATGGCCTGCTCACAGGTCTGTCCAAACAGGCTGTAAAACAGCTGCAGTACATTCAAAATGCAGCAGCTCGAGTCCTGACAAGAACCAGGAAGTACGACCACATTAGTCCAGTCCTCAGGTCTCTGCACTGGCTTCCTGTGGCTCAGAGAATAGACTTTAAAACAGCTCTGCTTGTGTACAAGTCTCTCCATAGCCTCGCACCAAAATATATTAGTGACATGTTAGTCCCATATGAACCAGCCCGGACTCTGAGGAGCACAGGGACTGGACTCCTGTTAGTGCCCAGAGTCAGAACTAAACATGGGGAGGCTGCTTTTCAGATTAATGCTGCTAAAATCTGGAACAGTCTTCCTGAAGATGTGAGACAGGCCTCCTCTCTGACAATGTTTAAAACCAGGTTAAAGACGGTTCTGTTTAACTGTGCATACAACTGAGGGATTTTATATTTTTATCTTTCTTTTTAATGTTCTGTGATAATTTATGATTTTAATGCTTTCTTGTTTTGTTCAGCACTTTGAATTGCCTTGTGTATGAATTGTGCTATATAAATAAACTTGCCTTGCCTTGTCTCTCTTTGGTCTTTTGGGGGTCTCTCTGGTGTCAGTCTGATCTCTCTCACCCAGTCACTCTGTCTCTCTCTATTTGGTCTTTGTGTATACTTCAACAACATCATGTACAACACCATATGACCGCAACATATGGTCATATGAGATCTTTCAGTCAACAAGTTTTCTCCAGGTGCTCCGGTTTCCCCTACCACTAAACCATCTGGGATGCGCCTCCTGTACTGGCGACCCCGCTCTGATTTCTGTGTGGACTGAAAGACAAATGCCCACAACAATTGTAAAGTGCTTTGAGACATTATAAATAAGAACGTACTCAATTTATATATTTTCAACTCTCTTTTTTCAATCTAAAAAAGAGAGAGAGTCAGACGACGCCAAGAAGATCAACGCTCTCTCCAAACGCTACAGCGCGGTGGGAAGCCTGAAGAGCCGGTGGCAGGACTGGGCCTCAGAGCACACGGTCAACCAAAGACTCAACCCGTTCAGCGAATACTTTGACTACAGCTACTCCATGTCCACGAGGCTGGTGCGAGGCCAAGAGGGCTACGGGAGGCCAAAGGAGGCCACCAAGACGGCAGAGCGAGCCAAACGCGCCGAGCAGCACGTCCACCGCGAGATCGCCGACATGTGTCTGATCATTCACAAGATGGCGGAGCCGGATGGAGACGGAGAGACACGTGTGACGTTCTGAGAGTTGTTCGACAGATACATTCGCATTTCGGACAAATTTGTGTGGATTCTGATGCAAGCAAGGAAGCACGGGAAAGTGGCGTTTAAAGGAGAGATGTTGTGGCAGGGAAGAATCAGAATCAGAATCATTTTTATTGCCACGTAAGTAACAGGAAGTCACTTGGAAATTGCTTTGGCTCAGTGCAACAGTCAGAAAGAGATAATAAAAATATAGAATAAAAAACACTTCTAAGGAATACATTTAAATTTAAAATAGAGTTACAGTTACTATTTACAATATACAAGTGCACATGGTGCACACAATGTAAGGTGACAGCATTACAGTGAAGTAAAGTGACGTATGATTGGCAGTAAAGTGACTTTATAAAGGGCGGGGGACAGGTTAAGAAGTGTTCAAGAGTCCAACAGCAGAGGGGAAGAAAATGTTCTTGTGGCGGGAGGTTCTAGTCCTGATGGACCGCAGTCTCCTGTCTGAGGGGAGTGGTTGGAATAGTCCATGTGCAGGGTGAGAGGGGTCGGCTGTGGTACGACCAGCCCGGCCTCGAGCTCGGGCGACGTACAGGTCCTGCAGCGATGGAAGGCTGCGGCCGATCACTTCCTCTGCAGAGCGCACAATGCGCTGTAGTCTCTGTTTGTCCCTGACTGTGGCTCCAGCGAACCACATGGTGATGGAGGAGGGGAGGATGGACTCGATGATGGCCGTGTAGAACTGCACCAACATCTGTGCAGGCAGCTTGGCTATCCTGAGCTGCCGCAGGAAGTACATCCTCTACTAGGCCTTCTTGATGAGGGAGCTGATGGTCGGCTCCCACTTGAGGTCCTGGGTGATGGTGGTACCCAGGAAACGGAAGGACTCCACAGAGGTGATGGGGGAGTCCATCACGGAGGGTGAGGGCAGGGGGACAGTGCTCTTCCTGAAGTCCACAATCATCTCCACTGTCTTCTGGGCGTTTAGCTCCAGGTTGTTACCACTGCACCAGGACACCAGCCGGTCCACCTCCCTCCTGTAGGCGGACTCATCGTTGTTGGAGATGAGTCCAATGAGGGTGGTGTCATCCGCGAACTTGAGCAGCTTCACGGAGTCGTTGCTGGAGGTGCAGTGGTTGGTGTACAGGGAGAAGAGCAGGGGAGAAAGAACACAGCCCTGTGGGGATCGTGTATTTATAATCCGAGAGTCCGAGACATTCTTCCCCAGACGCACTCGCTGCTTCCTGTCCGTCAGGAAGTCAGTGATCCACCTGCAGGTGGAATTGGGCACGTTGAGCTGGGAGAGCTTGTCCTGGAGCAGGGATGGCAGGATTGTGTTGAAGGCAGAGCTGAAGTCCACGAACAGGACCCCGGCGTAGGTCCACGGGGAGTCCAGGTGCTGTAGGATGTGGTGGAGGGCCAGGTTGATGGCGTCGTCTACAGATCTGTTGGCTCTGTAGGCGAACTGCAGGGGGTCCAGGAGGGGAGAGGTGAGGAACTTGAGATGGGAGAGGACCAGGCGTTCAAATGACTTCATGACGACAGACGTAAGTGCTACAGGTCTGTAGTCGTTGAGTCCTGTGATCCTGGGCTTCTTCGGGACGGGGACAATGATGGAGGATTTGAAGCAGGCCGGGACATGGCAGGACTGCAGAGAGGTGATGAAAATGTTAGTGAACACAGGAGTAAGTTCACTGGCACAGTGTCTCAGAGTAAGACACGTGGTCCGGGCCAGGAGCTTTGCGGGGGTGCAGCCTCAAGAAGAGTTGTTAAATATCTTTACAGGCTATTGTCAGGCTGGGGGCAGGGCTGATGGGTGGGTCGTTAGAGTAGTGGGGGGGGGGGGAGGGAGAGGTGTCAGGGGCAGCATCAAAGCGACTGAAAAAAAAGTTCAGTTCGTCAGCTAGCTTGTGTTCGTCAGCACAGGGGGGGGGGGCTTTGGGCTTGTAGTTGGTGATCTCCCGTAGGCCCCTCCAGACAGAAGCAGTATCGTTGTAACTATTGTCTAAAAAAAACCTTTGGGCATGTGTCAAAATTTGATGCAGAAAACAAGACGAAGATTTCCAAGTTAAACATCTGTATTTAAGTTATCTTTACAATCAGATACAGAAATTCAAAAAGCTCCTACCTGTTATGGAAATACAAATACTTCTATGAATAAATCCGAGCAGAAACAGCTTTGTCTTTGTGCTATTTATTAAAGAGGTGATGAATACAAAATAATGACATTTCTCTGCAGAGAAGTGTCAGACAGAAGCCGTGCGAGCAGAAGCTTGCCCAGTTTCTCTCTGCCCCTCCTCATTCCACACATTTGATAATATACTTGGACAAGAATCAGAGAACAATGAGCAGCCGTCGGTGGGGGCGAGATGGGATGAGTCATGTAGATAGCTGCAGATAAGAGAGGCGGGCAGAAAGAGATACAGAATGTTCTTTGCGGGAACATTTGAGATAGCACACCTGCAGACAGGACCAAGGCCATGACAAAGAGGACAGCATAATGTCCCTTTGTTGTAGAAGACAGAAAGAGCCTTTGTGTAATGTATCAGTCAATGATGGGAATACAGTCTCTAACGCTGGGAAACCATAAAATGTATCTGTCAGCTGCACAATGTAATTTCTAGTGATGGGAACTGTCCGATGCGAAACCCACCACAACAATCCTCCCTATTGATTATCTTAAATCAATCACACACATGCTATTAAGTACTAAAAAAAATAAGTAAAATATAACACAAACCCCGGAACATCAAAATTTCCACACCTAGTGGGTTTAAGAAAATCCGTCATAAATGGGTCAAGCATGCAAACCAATTTACTCAAAATCATCAAGTGACATCTCACTAAACGGATCACTGTCCTCATCAAGACAGTCATCATGCAGGTTAAGCAAGGTATGTTGAACGAGTGTCGACGAAATCATACGTCGGCTCAACGAACGGATCAAAGGAATGACACAAGATGACACCACTATCAGTAACACTAATATAACGCCAAGTCCAGTACCTATTTGAATCAACCATGCTCGCCAGTCTGAAAACCATGAAGCATAAGTATCTAGAACAGGGGTCGGGAACCCAAAATGTTCAAAGAGCCATAATTGACAAAAAAACTAAAAACAACATCTGTCTGGAGCCGCAAAAAAAATAAAAGCCTTGTATAAGGCTTTTATGAAGGTAACACGGGCTGCAAGATGTATTAGCTATATTAGCCTAATATCTAAATGACAAAGTAAAGGCTACAAATACATAATAATCATTCATGATTATCAAATGTGCATTTTCACTGCAGCGTGTCGCACCACGCGTGTCGTGAATGACGCAACACGGGACAACTCTGCTTTAGTTTAACTTCCATTTTTTTGCCTTCATGCAATTGTAGAAATACAGTAAATCAATCTGCTTTGGGCTCAGAGGTCACATACCTGCATCACTGTCTGCTCATATCCATCACGTCACAGGCTGAAGTTTGCTGGAGCTCAATTAAAATCCTTAATGGCCTTTTCTTTCACCGTCTTTGAGAAGGTTTTGAACTCTGAAAATAGGTGCTCCGAATTTTTGATGAATGAATCCTTCACGTAATCACCGTTTACGTCGTTTTGCGCGTCATTGTATCTCGTGTTGCAACAAAACTTTTCATTACAAACATGAAGCAGTCCTTCCTCATTGACTGGAAGAAAATGTTCATTCTCATTCTTAGTCCAGTCTTGTTATCGACTCTCTAGCTTTGGGATCCATGTGCACTTACAGTCTATGATGCTCACACGCCGGTTTGTTTACAGCAGCGGCCGCATGGGGCGGGGCCGTGTGACCACGTGTCATAGGATATGACGCACTACGTTGACAGAAATGTTGAAATTAGATATTACTTATACATATTTTTACAGCATTTAAAAACGTAAAGATTGTTTTTCCTTCTACAGAAACCACATTCAAACTAGAAATAAAATATAGCCCTCACACTCCATTTTCAGACATTTTTGAAAAGGCTCCAGGAGCCACTCCAGGAGCCACTCCAGGAGCACTCAAGAGCCGCGGGTTGCCGACCCCTGATCTAGAACGAAATCGCGGTTAACTGCATCACGCAAAATAGTCACATTTCGAATACCCTGTGCAATGATCCCATCATCGGCACTGTTATCAGGAATATAAGTACAACAAGCGGTCTGATTAAGTAAAACACAAACACCTCCACTTGAGGCAACCAAATGATCCAAAACAATCCTGTTTTGTAAAGCGACGGCACGCAACGCATTCACTTCTACTCTGTTGGCTTCTAGAATAGTTACAGTTGAATTCACAAAACTTGAAAACCGATAATTCAAAGTTTCCATTCTAAGCATAACCTTTCCTACGCCGAGCTGAGGGAACAAGTAAGTAAGTAAGTAAGTAAGTTTTTATTTATATACCGCCTTTTCACTGCAGATCTGAGTCTCAAAGCGGTTTACAATTGTTAATTTTGGGCATTTGTCTCTCACTCCACACAGAGATGGGAGCGGGGTCGCCAGTACAGGAAGCGCATGCCAGAACTATTGGACATATTTTTAGTGGTAGGGGAAACCGGAGTACCCGGAGGAAACCTACGCAGACACGGGGAGAACATGCAAACTCCACTCAGAAAGGCCCTGGTCCGACCGGGATTCGAACCCAGGACCTTCTTGCTGAGAGGCGAGAGTGCTATCCACTCAGCCACCGTGCCGCCCGGTACGAGAGAATTACTTTTGATGGTTTTGTCCACAGCTAGTGCTCATAGGCCTTGTAGCCAATAAGGAAAGCTTTCTAGTTGATGGGTGGGACTTGAGTGAACTCTTGCTAAACTTTCCTCTAGAAGCTGTGCGTTTTTTTGGAAAAATTAAAAATGTCTGTTCTCTCTCTGTAAGTTCCTCTAACAATTGCTGCGTTATCAGGGGGGCAAAAAAATGGCGCGTCAGCGCCACCTCCTTTGCGCGGTGCGGCGAGGGCCGTTAGATGCCGCTTGCGGCTTTAATTATTATTATTATTATTAAACACAGATTATTATTATTCTTATCATTATAAGACACAGCTGAGGGCAGACTTCAAAGCAAAGATATAAATGTGTTTAAATGGACGGTTTCTACGGCAACGGGCCTAAATGATCACGTTTCTCAAATCAATCAATCAATCAAAGTTTATTTGTAGAGCGCCTTTCATACACATGGCAACACAAAGCGCTTCACAGTCCACATCACAAATCATCACATAAAACAAACACCAGAATCACAATTAAAACATTAAAATCACACAAAAGATTAAAACACAATTAAAACATTAAAATCACACAAAAGAATAAAACCATTAAAACTTTCAAAATTACACAAGAAATTTAAAAAAATAAATAAATGACAGCAGTGCATTAGAAATGGAGATAAAATCCTTCAGTTGTATGCACAGGCAAACAGAACAGTCTTTAACCTGGATTTGAACATTGACAGAGTAGACGCCTCCCTCACATTTTCAGGGAGATTGTTCCAGATCTTAGCTGCATGGATCTGAAACGCAGCCTCCCCATGTTTGGTTCTCACTCTGGGCACCAGCAGGAGGCCAGTCCCTGTGCTCCTCAGAGTCCGGGCTGGTTCATATGACACCAACATGTCACTAATGTATTCTGGTGCAAGGCCATGGAGAGGCCAAACCCGTCCGTAGACTGAAGTCCCTGCAGGTGTTCAGTCCAGAGGAAAACCAGAAGCAGCCGTCTGATCAGACCTCTGAAGCAAAGCAGGGCAGGGCCTGGTCAGTACTGTGATGGGAGACCAATGGGAGGTGCCACAGTGGGACGGTTATGATGTCATTGTACGACTGGGACCTCACGCTCAGAGCAGTTCTCTGCCTTTTACAACAAAAGTATATTAGTTTTAGCAATTTATCAGGTCAAATAACATGCGCTATGCTCTCATGGGTGTGTTTGCAGCAAGTGATTTTCAAATGTCCCTCTGGTGGCCGCACAGAGAGTTACAGCCTGAAAATCATTGTTTAGTCTTGACACTTACCTCACAGTTTGTTTTCTACTGAGGAGGTTATTGCACATTCTAAAACATGAAATGACAAAGAAAACAGTCTAAAAATAATGTGTCTTCTTTAAAGTATCTGTTCTTTGGGATGTGGTGATGTCACATGATTCTAACCCTTTGTTCTTCCTCCAGGCTTCATCGTGGCCAGTGCTCTCATCGACGTCTCTCAGCAGAAAGCCTCGGACTTTAAAGACAAGTCCCTGGCGTTCAAAAACAGGCAAGCGCTGGCTCCGACACACCAGGGCACCTGCGTCTGACCGCTCCCACAATGCACTTGTGTTGGGCGCTGTTTTAAGCCCCGCCCCCGAGGCCTTTTCTACGGACGTGTACAATACCCTCATTTTGGCTGCTAACATTCAACCAAAAGTTTCTCGGGCTCACTGTCGCAAACAGCACCATTTCTGAAAACCGTCAAAATCGGCAACTTTCTCGACCACGATCCCTACGTTTTTTCACCGTCTGGACGACCTTCTCGGAAAAAACAATGGCCGCTACTGCATGAGGAGGATCTTAACTTTACTTGGCACCAACTTATGCCTTGTGTACACCTTTTATGAGGCTGTTTTTGAGAAAGAATTACATTTTTGGGAGCTATAAGTTACTCTTTAAGTTAGTTACAGACTGTACTGATGTTCAGACCTAGCTAGGATTCTCGTCTGTACTTGTAAAAAGGCCTGACAGTGTGGACTTAGCGTAGCAGCTAGAGTTAGCATTACACGCCATAGATTACAGCATGACGGGGACGCATCAAAAACTAAACTAGTATCGGTTCAGACGTCCTCGGTGGTTCTCAAAGTCTGGTAGATTTGCATTTTGGTCGTGTCCATTGCTTGCCATGACGTGGGTTTCAATGGTGCTCAACCTCCTGAATGAATATTGTTGTTTTTTAACCAGAGGTAATCACCGCATTAGGCTCCAGTCCAATGTTTGTAGTAGTTTCCTCTTTACCAGCGCTGCCAAGTCAACAGAGCCTTTAGTGTCCGCTCCATCCGCAGCAGAAGTCTGTATTTTTGTGACGCGGCGGAAACAAACTAGAACAAAATCACCCACAAGGCATTTATTATGGTTTATTTTCTATCAAGAGAAAACTGGAAGTTGTTTTAGGTCGGACGGCCCTCTGCGGTCCTCGGGCGGTCCTCGGGCGATCCTCGGGCGGTCCTTGGTATCTCCTCGGGCGTTCCTCGGGCGATCCTCGGGCGGTCCTCGGGCGGTCCTCGGACGGTCCTCGGACGGCCCTCTGCGGTCCTCGGGCGGTCCTCGGGCGGTCCTTGGTATCTCCTCGGGCGGTCCTCGGGCGGTCCTCGGGCGGTCCTCGGGCGGTCCTCGGACGGTCCTCGGGCGGTCCTCGGGCGGTCCTTGGTATCTCCTCCGGCGGTCCTCGGGCAATCCTCGGGCGATCCTCGGACGGTCCTCGGGCGGTCCTCGGGCTGTCCTCGGGCGGTCCTTGGGCTGTCCTCGGACGGTCCTCGGGCGGTCCTTGGGCTGTCCTCGGACGGTCCTCGGGCGGTCCTCGGACTGTCCTCGGGCGGTCCTTGGGCGGTCCTTGGGCGGTCCTTGGGCGGTCCTCGGGCGGTCCTTGGGCTGTCCTCGGGCGGTCCTCGGACGGTCCTTGGGCGGTCCTTGGTATCTCCTCGGACAGTCCTCGGGCGGTCCTCGGACGGTCCTCGGGCGGTCCTCGGGCGGTCCCCGGGCGGTCCTCGGACGGTCCTCGGGCGGTCCTCGGGCGGTCCTCGGACGGTCCTCGGGCGGTCCTCGGGCTGTCCTCGGACGGTCCTCGGGCGGTCCTTGGGCTGTCCTCGGGCGGTCCTTGGGCGGTCCTTGGGCTGTCCTCGGACGGTCCTCGGACGGTCCTCAGACGGTCCTCGGACGGCCCTCGGGCGGTCCTTGGTATCTCCTCGGACAGTCCTCGGGCGGTCCTCGGGCGGTCCTTGGGTGGTCCTCGGTATGTCCATGATGTTCCTTATTCTGAAGACCTTTTCCACGTCATGTTTTCCGATTGCTGTTTACTAATTTGTTTTTGTACATTTTTTATTAGTCCTTCGTACAGTTTAACCCGTTTATAATCTCTGGGCTTCTCGTCATGAACTTTGAACCCTACAGGAAGGAAAAAAGGGTCATTATTTTGTAATGGACAGCCCCGATGCTGTACAGTGTCTTGTCGAGCAAAAACGTCTGGGAAAATGATGTTTGTCAAGTTTTTAATGACTCATTTGTCACGAGAGAAAGAATGATTTTAGACCTGCCTGTTACTATAAAGTTTATTATCTATGAAAACTATGTGCGTCTTTTTGCTACACTTGTGTAAAAAAACGATTTTTGTGTTAATATTTTTGTTTTGATATTTAAGACTCCTCGACACAGAACTTCTCCCATGTTTCTGTTGTGCGTCCTTTTATGGGCATTGTCTTACCGTTATGACTAAGTTGTGTGTCGGAGGACGTAACGCCAGCTCTCACATGTGTTTTTACTTTGTCTCTGGAGTTTTCCTTTTTGAAGTGTCATTACGAGGGAGGATCCCACTGTAACATGAACAAGATGCATATCGATAAATCTTCAGTGTATTTTTTGGGGACGTGCCAGAAAATAAAATCAGACCTGGAAAAGAATGGACCTGCTGTGTCTCCTGCCGTCAAGTTATTGGGAAAACTCTGAATACAAATGTTTACAGAGAACTACGATCTCATTCCGGCTGCTCGGGAGAATTATGCAAAAGTTAGTAATTGTGTCATGTTTTTATTTACCCGTTCAACATTTTTATTCTGATTTATGCAGGTTTTAATAATTCCAGACTGATTCAAAACACTGTTACAGCCGTGGCCCTCTTCACCTTTGGCGGCCTCAATGTTTTCTGGATTTGTGTCTGAGATTTTGATTTTCTACTGTGTTTTTCTCCAACTACATCTTTCTATGTAACTATATGTGTATGCACGGCTTTTGACAGCTGCAGCAGCACTCAGCCGTTAGTACAGTGTGTGAAGGTTTTTACATCATTTCATAAACAAGGACCACAGAACTACTACACTTCTGTTTTCACGTCGGGTACGGACCTCATGTTGTTCTGTTCTGCAGAAGTGGTTAAGGCTCGATCAAGAAACGACTCTTCCACAACTGTTCAGTCCATTTCAGGCGACGCTAAAAGTCTCAAATCTATTGCAAGTTATTTTTTAAACAAACTGCAATTTACTTTTCTTCTTAAAGCTGCTCTACATTTGTAGTCCCAGCAGGAGGCCAGTCCCTGTGCTCCTCAGAGTCCCAGCAGGAGGCCAGTCCCTGTGCTCCTCAGAGTCCCAGCAGGAGGCCAGTCCCTGTGCTCCTCAGAGTCCCAGCAGGAGGCCAGTCCCTGTGCTCCTCAGAGTCCCAGCAGGAGGTCAGTCCCTGTGCTCCTCAGAGTCAGGAGGCCAGTCCCTGTGCTCCTCAGTCCCAACAGGAGGCCAGTCCCTGTGCTCCTCAGTCCCAACAGGAGGCTAGTCCCTGTGCTCCTCAGTCCCAACAGGAGGCCAGTCCCTGTGCTCCTCAGTCCCAACAGGAGGCTAGTCCCTGTGCTCCTCAGTCCCAACAGGAGGCCAGTCCCTGTGCCCCTCAGTCCCAGCAGGAGGCCAGTCCCTGTGCTCCTCAGAGTCAGGAGGCTAGTCCCTGTGCTCCTCAGTCCCAACAGGAGGCCAGTCCCTGTGCTCCTCAGTCCCAACAGGAGGCCAGTCCCTGTGCTCCTCAGAGTCCCAGCAGGAGGCCAGTCCCTGTGCTCCTCAGAGTCCCAGCAGGAGGCCAGTCCCTGTGCTCCTTTGAGTTGGTTCATTTGGTTCTAACATGTCGCAGATGGACTTTGGTGCCTCTGACCGTGATCTACAGTTTAAAGAGACAGATTTCCATGAAGTGTAGTTTAACAAATGGAACAAGTTCAAAACTATGACTTCTCCGACACAATCTTCTCACATCAAGTAACAACCGTGACTCAGAAGTCTCCACACTCCTGTCTCCTCTCACTCTAGTCTCCTCTCACTCTAGTCTCCTCTCGCTCCTGTCTCCTCTCGCTCCTGTCTCCTCTCACTCTAGTCTCCTCTCACTCTGGTCTCCTCTCGCTCCTGTCTCCTCTCGCTCCTGTCTCCTCTCGCTCTGGTCTCCTCTCGCTCTGGTCTCCTCTCGCTCTGGTCTCCTCTCGCTCCTGTCTCCTCTCGCTCTGGTCTCCTCTCGCTCTGGTCTCCTCTCGCTCCTGTCTCCTCTCGCTCCTGTCTCCTCTCGCTCTGGTCTCCTCTCGCTCTGGTCTCCTCTCGCTCTGGTCTCCTCTCACTCCTGTCTCCTCTCGCTCTGGTCTCCTCTCGCTCTGGTCTCCTCTCACTCTGTCTCCTCTCACTCTCTGTCTCCTCTCGCTCCTGTCTCCTCTCGCTCCTGTCTCCTCTCCTCTGTCTCCTCTCGCTCTGGTCTCCTCTCGCTCTGGTCTCCTCTCCTCTCTGTCTCCTCTCGCTCTGGTCTCCTCTCGCTCTGGTCTCCTCTCGCTCTGGTCTCCTCTCGCTCCTGGTCTCCTCTCGCTCTGGTCTCCTCTCCTCTGTCTCTCTCTCTCTGTCTCCTCTCGCTCTGTCTCTCTCGCTCTGGTCTCCTCTCACTCCTGTCTCCTCTCACTCTGGTCTCCTCTCGCTCCTGGTCTCCTCTCACTCCTGTCTCCTCTCACTCCTGTCTCCTCTCGCTCTGGTCTCCTCTCGCTCCTGTCTCCTCTCACTCCTGTCTCCTCTCGCTCTGGTCTCCTCTCACTCCTGTCTCCTCTCGCTCTGGTCTCCTCTCACTCCTGTCTCCTCTCACTCCTGTCTCCTCTCGCTCCTGTCTCCTCTCACTCCTGTCTCCTCTCGCTCCTGTCTCCTCTCACTCCTGTCTCCTCTCGCTCTGGTCTCCTCTCGCTCTGGTCTCCTCTCACTCCTGTCTCCTCTCGCTCCTGTCTCCTCTCACTCCTGTCTCCTCTCGCTCTGGTCTCCTCTCGCTCTGGTCTCCTCTCACTCCTGTCTCCTCTCACTCCTGTCTCCTCTCGCTCTGGTCTCCTCTCGCTCCTGTCTCCTCTCACTCCTGTCTCCTCTCGCTCTGGTCTCCTCTCTCTCCTGTCTCCTCTCACTCCTGTCTCCTCTCGCTCTGGTCTCCTCTCGCTCTGGTCTCCTCTCACTCTGTCTCCTCTCGCTCCTGTCTCCTCTCCTCCTGTCTCCTCTCACTCTGTCTCCTCTCACTCTGGTCTCCTCTCACTCTGTCTCCTCTCCTCTGTCTCCTCTCGCTCTGGTCTCCTCTCGCTGTCTCCTCTCCTCTGTCTCCTCTCGCTCTGGTCTCCTCTCGCTCTGTCTCCTCTCCTCCTGTCTCCTCTCCTCTGTCTCCTCTCGCTCTGGTCTCCTCTCGCTCTGGTCTCTCTCTCTGTCTCCGCTCTGTCTCTCTGCTCTGGTCTCTCCTCTGCTCTGGTCTCCTCTCGCTCTGTCTCCTCTCCTCTCGCTCTGTCTCCTCTCGCTCCTGTCTCCTCTCACTCCTGTCTCCTCTCGCTCCTGTCTCCTCTCGCTCTGGTCTCCTCTCGCTCTGGTCTCCCTCTCACTCCTGTCTCCTCTCACTCCTGTCTCCTCTCACTCCTGTCTCCTCTCGCTCTGGTCTCCTCTCACTCCTGTCTCCTCTCGCTCTGGTCTCCTCTCGCTCTGGTCTCCTCTCACTCTGGTCTCCTCTCACTCCTGTCTCCTCTCACTCCTGTCTCCTCTCGCTCTGGTCTCCTCTCGCTCTGGTCTCCTCTCGCTCTGGTCTCCTCTCGCTCTGGTCTCCTCTCGCTCTGGTCTCCTCTCTCGCTCTGGTCTCCTCTCACTCTGTCTCCTCTCGCTCTGGTCTCCTCTCGCTCTGTCTCCTCTCGCTCTGGTCTCCTCTCGCTCTGGTCTCCTCTCGCTCTGGTCTCCTCTCACTCCTGTCTCCTCTCACTCCTGTCTCCTCTCGCTCTGGTCTCCTCTCGCTCTGGTCTCCTCTCACTCCTGTCTCCTCTCGCTCTGGTCTCCTCTCGCTCTGGTCTCCTCTCACTCCTGTCTCCTCTCGCTCCTGTCTCCTCTCGCTCTGGTCTCCTCTCGCTCTGGTCTCCTCTCACTCCTGTCTCTCTCTCCTCTCTGTCTCCTCTCGCTCTGGTCTCCTCTCGCTCTGGTCTCCTCTCACTCCTGTCTCCTCTCGCTCTGGTCTCCTCTCGCTCTGGTCTCCTCTCACTCCTGGTCTCCTCTCACTCCTGTCTCCTCTCGCTCCTGTCTCCTCTCACTCCTGTCTCCTCTCGCTCCTGTCTCTCTCCTCTCTCCTCTCTCTGTCTCCTCTCGCTCTGGTCTCCTCTCGCTCTGGTCTCCTCTCGCTCTGGTCTCCTCTCACTCTGGTCTCCTCTCACTCTCCTGTCTCCTCTCGCTCTGTCTCCTCTCGCTCTGGTCTCCTCTCGCTCTGGTCTCCTCTCGCTCTGGTCTCCTCTCACTCCTGTCTCCTCTCGCTCTAGTCTCCTCTCGCTCCTGTCTCCTCTCGCTCTGGTCTCCTCTCGCTCTGGTCTCCTCTCACTCCTGTCTCCTCTCGCTCTGGTCTCCTCTCGCTCTGGTCTCCTCTCGCTCTGGTCTCCTCTCACTCCTGTCTCCTCTCGTTCTAGTCTCCTCTCACTCCTGTCTCCTCTCGCTCTGGTCTCCTCTCGCTCTGGTCTCCTCTCACTCCTGTCTCCTCTCGCTCTGGTTTCCCCTCGCTCTGGTCTCCTCTCGCTCTGGTTTCCCCTCGCTCTGGTCTCCTCTCGCTCTGGTCTCCTCTCGCTCTGGTCTCCTCTCACTCCTGTCTCCCTCGCTCTGGTCTCCCCTCGCTCTGGTCTCCTCTCGCTCCTGTCTCCTCTCACTCCTGTCTCCTCTCTCGCTCTGGTCTCCTCTCGCTCTGGTCTCCTCTCACTCCTGTCTCCTCTCGCTCCTGTCTCCTCTCACTCCTGTCTCCTCTCGCTCCTGTCTCCTCTCGCTCTGGTCTCCTCTCACTCTGGTCTCCTCTCACTCCTGTCTCCTCTCACTCCTGTCTCCTCTCACTCCTGTCTCCTCTCGCTCCTGTCTCCTCTCACTCCTGTCTCCTCTCGCTCTGGTCTCCTCTCGCTCTGGTCTCCTCTCGCTCTGGTCTCCTCTCACTCTGGTCTCCTCTCACTCCTGTCTCCTCTCACTCCTGTCTCCTCTCACTCCTGTCTCCTCTCGCTCTGGTCTCCTCTCGCTCTGGTCTCCTCTCACTCCTGTCTCCTCTCACTCCTGTCTCCTCTCGCTCCTGTCTCCTCTCGCTCTGGTCTCCTCTCGCTCTGGTCTCCTCTCACTCCTGTCTCCTCTCACTCCTGTCTCCTCTCACTCCTGTCTCCTCTCGCTCCTGTCTCCTCTCGCTCTGGTCTCCTCTCGCTCTGGTCTCCTCTCACTCCTGTCTCCTCTCACTCCTGTCTCCTCTCGCTCTGGTCTCCTCTCGCTCTGGTCTCCTCTCACTCCTGTCTCCTCTCGCTCTGGTCTCCTCTCGCTCTGGTCTCCTCTCACTCCTGTCTCCTCTCACTCCTGTCTCCTCTCACTCCTGTCTCCTCTCGCTCCTGTCTCCTCTCACTCCTGTCTCCTCTCGCTCCTGTCTCCTCTCACTCCTGTCTCCTCTCGCTCTGGTCTCCTCTCGCTCTGGTCTCCTCTCGCTCTGGTCTCCTCTCACTCTGGTCTCCTCTCACTCCTGTCTCCTCTCGCTCCTGTCTCCTCTCGCTCTGGTCTCCTCTCGCTCTGGTCTCCTCTCGCTCTGGTCTCCTCTCACTCCTGTCTCCTCTCGCTCTGGTCTCCTCTCGCTCCTGTCTCCTCTCGCTCTGGTCTCCTCTCGCTCTGGTCTCCTCTCACTCCTGTCTCCTCTCGCTCTGGTCTCCTCTCGCTCTGGTCTCCTCTCGCTCTGGTCTCCTCTCACTCCTGTCTCTTCTCGTTCTAGTCTCCTCTCACTCCTGTCTCCTCTCGCTCTGGTCTCCTCTCGCTCTGGTCTCCTCTCACTCCTGTCTCCTCTCGCTCTGGTTTCCCCCTCGCTCTGGTCTCCTCTCGCTCTGGTTTCCCCCTCGCTCTGGTCTCCTCTCGCTCTGGTCTCCTCTCGCTCTGGTCTCCTCTCACTCCTGTCTCCTCTCGCTCCTGTCTCCTCTCACTCCTGTCTCCTCTCGCTCCTGTCTCCTCTCACTCCTGTCTCCTCTCGCTCTGGTCTCCTCTCGCTCTGGTCTCCTCTCGCTCTGGTCTCCTCTCACTCTGGTCTCCTCTCACTCCTGTCTCCTCTCGCTCCTGTCTCCTCTCGCTCTGGTCTCCTCTCGCTCTGGTCTCCTCTCGCTCTGGTCTCCTCTCACTCCTGTCTCCTCTCGCTCTGGTCTCCTCTCGCTCCTGTCTCCTCTCGCTCTGGTCTCCTCTCGCTCTGGTCTCCTCTCGCTCTGGTCTCCTCTCCTCCTGTCTCCCTCTGTCTCCTCTCGCTCTGGTCTCCTCTCGCTCTGGTCTCCTCTCGCTCTGGTCTCCTCTCACTCCTGTCTCCTCTCGTTCTAGTCTCCTCTCACTCCTGTCTCCTCTCGCTCTGGTCTCCTCTCGCTCTGGTCTCCTCTCACTCCTGTCTCCTCTCGCTCTGGTTTCCCCCTCGCTCTGGTCTCCTCTCGCTCTGGTTTCCCCCTCGCTCTGGTCTCCTCTCGCTCTGGTCTCCTCTCGCTCTGGTCTCCTCTCACTCCTGTCTCCCCTCGCTCTGGTTTCCCCCTCGCTCTGGTCTCCTCTCGCTCCTGTCTCCTCTCACTCCTGTCTCCTCTCGCTCTGGTCTCCTCTCGCTCTGGTCTCCTCTCACTCCTGTCTCCTCTCGCTCCTGTCTCCTCTCACTCCTGTCTCCTCTCGCTCCTGTCTCCTCTCGCTCTGGTCTCCTCTCACTCCTGTCTCCTCTCACTCCTGTCTCCTCTCACTCCTGTCTCCTCTCGCTCCTGTCTCCTCTCGCTCCTGTCTCCTCTCGCTCTGGTCTCCTCTCGCTCCTGTCTCCTCTCGCTCTGGTCTCCTCTCGCTCTGGTCTCCTCTCACTCCTGTCTCCTCTCGCTCTGGTCTCCTCTCGCTCTGGTCTCCTCTCGCTCTGGTCTCCTCTCGCTCTGGTCTCCTCTCACTCCTGTCTCCTCTCGCTCTGGTCTCCTCTCGCTCTGGTCTCCTCTCGCTCTGGTCTCCTCTCGCTCTGGTCTCCTCTCGCTCCTGTCTCCTCTCACTCCTGTCTCCTCTCGCTCTGGTCTCCTCTCGCTCTGGTCTCCTCTCACTCCTGTCTCCTCTCGCTCTGGTTTCCCCCTCGCTCTGGTCTCCTCTCGCTCTGGTCTCCTCTCGCTCTGGTCTCCTCTCGCTCCTGTCTCCTCTCGCTCTGGTCTCCTCTCGCTCTGGTCTCCTCTCACTCCTGTCTCCTCTCGCTCTGGTCTCCTCTCGCTCTGGTCTCCTCTCACTCTGGTCTCCTCTCACTCCTGTCTCCTCTCGCTCCTGTCTCCTCTCGCTCTGGTCTCCTCTCGCTCTGGTCTCCTCTCACTCCTGTCTCCTCTCGCTCTGGTCTCCTCTCGCTCCTGTCTCCTCTCGCTCTGGTCTCCTCTCGCTCTGGTCTCCTCTCACTCCTGTCTCCTCTCGCTCTCGCTCTGGTCTCCTCTCGCTCTGGTCTCCTCTCACTCCTGTCTCCTCTCACTCTGGTCTCCTCTCGCTCCTGTCTCCTCTCGCTCCTGTCTCCTCTCGCTCCTGTCTCCTCTCACTCCTGTCTCCTCTCGCTCCTGTCTCCTCTCGCTCTGGTCTCCTCTCGCTCTGGTCTCCTCTCACTCCTGTCTCCTCTCGCTCTGGTCTCCTCTCGCTCCTGTCTCCTCTCGCTCTGGTCTCCTCTCGCTCTGGTCTCCTCTCACTCCTGTCTCCTCTCGCTCTGGTCTCCTCTCGCTCTGGTCTCCTCTCACTCCTGTCTCCTCTCACTCCGGTCTCCTCTCGCTCCTGTCTCCTCTCGCTCTGTCTCCTCTCACTCCTGTCTCCTCTCGCTCTGGTCTCCTCTCGCTCTGGTCTCCTCTCGCTCTGGTCTCCTCTCGCTCTGGTCTCCTCTCGCTCCTGTCTCCTCTCCTCCTGTCTCCTCTCGCTCTGGTCTCCTCTCGCTCTGGTCTCCTCTCACTCCTGTCTCCTCTCGCTCTGGTCTTCCCCTCGCTCTGGTCTCCTCTCGCTCTGGTCTCCTCTCGCTCTGGTCTCCTCTCGCTCCTGTCTCCTCTCGCTCTGGTCTCCTCTCGCTCTGGTCTCCTCTCACTCCTGTCTCCTCTCGCTCTGGTTTCCCCTCGCTCTGGTCTCCTCTCGCTCTGGTCTCCTCTCGCTCTGGTCTCCTCTCGCTCCTGTCTCCTCTCGCTCTGGTCTCCTCTCGCTCTGGTCTCCTCTCACTCCTGTCTCCTCTCGCTCTGGTCTCCTCTCGCTCTGGTCTCCTCTCACTCTGGTCTCCTCTCACTCCTGTCTCCTCTCGCTCCTGTCTCCTCTCGCTCTGGTCTCCTCTCGCTCTGGTCTCCTCTCACTCCTGTCTCCTCTCGCTCTGGTCTCCTCTCGCTCCTGTCTCCTCTCGCTCTGGTCTCCTCTCGCTCTGGTCTCCTCTCACTCCTGTCTCCTCTCGCTCTGGTCTCCTCTCGCTCTGGTCTCCTCTCACTCCTGTCTCCTCTCACTCTGGTCTCCTCTCGCTCCTGTCTCCTCTCGCTCCTGTCTCCTCTCACTCCTGTCTCCTCTCACTCTGGTCTCCTCTCACTCCTGTCTCCTCTCACTCTGGTCTCCTCTCGCTCCTGTCTCCTCTCGCTCCTGTCTCCTCTCGCTCTGGTCTCCTCTCGCTCTGGTCTCCTCTCGCTCTGGTCTCCTCTCACTCCTGTCTCCTCTCGCTCTGGTCTCCTCTCGCTCCTGTCTCCTCTCGCTCTGGTCTCCTCTCGCTCTGGTCTCCTCTCACTCCTGTCTCCTCTCGCTCTGGTCTCCTCTCGCTCTGGTCTCCTCTCGCTCTGGTCTCCTCTCGCTCTGGTCTCCTCTCACTCCTGTCTCCTCTCGTTCTAGTCTCCTCTCACTCCTGTCTCCTCTCGCTCTGGTCTCCTCTCGCTCTGGTCTCCTCTCACTCCTGTCTCCTCTCGCTCTGGTCTCCTCCTCGCTCTGGTCTCCTCTCGCTCTGGTCTCCCCTCGCTCTGGTCTCCTCTCGCTCTGGTCTCCTCTCGCTCTGGTCTCCTCTCGCTCCTGTCTCCTCTCGCTCTGGTCTCCTCTCGCTCTGTCTCCTCTCGCTCCTGTCTCCTCTCGCTCTGGTCTCCTCTCGCTCTGGTCTCCTCTCACTCTGGTCTCCTCTCGCTCCTGTCTCCTCTCGCTCTGTCTCCTCTCGCTCTGGTCTCCTCTCGCTCCTGTCTCCTCTCGCTCTGGTCTCCTCTCGCTCTGGTCTCCTCTCGCTCTGGTCTCCTCTCGCTCTGGTCTCCTCTCGCTCTGGTCTCCTCTCGCTCCTGTCTCCTCTCGCTCTGGTCTCCTCTCACTCTGTCTCCTCTCGCTCTGGTCTCCTCTCACTCCTGTCTCCTCTCGCTCTGGTCTCCTCTCGCTCTGGTCTCCTCTCGCTCTGGTCTCCTCTCACTCCTGTCTCCTCTCGCTCTGGTCTCCTCTCGCTCTGGTCTCCTCTCGCTCTGGTCTCCTCTCGCTCTGGTCTCCTCTCACTCCTGTCTCCTCTCGCTCTGGTCTCCTCTCCTCTGTCTCCTCTCGCTCTGGTCTCCTCCTCTGGTCTCCTCTCGCTCTGGTCTCCTCTCGCTCTGGTCTCCTCTCGCTCTGTCTCCTCTCGCTCTGGTCTCCTCTCGCTCTAGTCTCCTCTCGCTCTGGTCTCCTCTCGCTCTGGTCTCCTCTCGCTCTGGTCTCCTCTCGCTCGGTCTCCTCTTGCTCTGGTCTCCTCTCCTCTGGTCTCCTCTCGCTCTGGTCTCCTCTCGCTCTGGTCTCCTCTCGCTCTGGTCTCCTCTCCTCTGTCTCCTCTCCTCTGGTCTCCTCTCACTCCGGTCTCCTCTCACTCCTGTCTCCTCTCGCTCTGTCTCCTCTCCTCTGGTCTCCTCTCGCTCTGGTCTCCTCTCGCTCTAGTCTCCTCTCACTCCGGTCTCCTCTCGCTCTGGTCTCCTCTCGCTCTGGTCTCCTCTCACTCTGGTCTCCTCTCACTCTGGTCTCTCTCACTCTGGTCTCCTCTCGCTCTGGTCTCCTCTCCTCTGGTCTCCTCTCGCTCTGGTCTCCTCTCTCTCTCTGGTCTCCTCTCGTCTCCTCTCCTCTGTCTCCTCTCGCTCTGGTCTCCTCCACTCTGTCTCCTCTCGCTCTGGTCTCCTCTCGCTCTGGTCTCTCTCACTCTGGTCTCCTCTCGCTCTGGTCTCCTCTCACTCCTGTCTCCTCTCGCTCTGGTCTCCTCTCGCTCTGGTCTCCTCTCACTCCTGTCTCCTCTTGCTCTGGTCTCCTCTCGCTCTGGTCTCCTCTCACTCTAGTCTCCTCTCGCTCCGGTCTCCTCTTGCTCTGGTCTCCTCTCGCTCTGGTCTCCTCTCGCTCTAGTCTCCTCTCACTCCTGTCTCCTCTCTCTGGTCTCCTCTGCTCTGGTCTCCTCTCGCTCTGGTCTCCTCTCGCTCTAGGTCTCCTCTCGCTCTGGTCTCCTCTCGCTCTGGTCTCCTCTCTGGTCTCGCTCTGGTCTCCTCTCGCTCTGGTCTCCTCTCGCTCTGGTCTCCTCTCGCTCTGGTCTCCTCTCGCTCTGGTCTCCTCTCACTCTAGTCTCCTCTCGCTCTAGTCTCCTCTCACTCCTGTCTCCTCTTGCTCTGGTCTCCTCTCGCTCTGGTCTCCTCTTGCTCTGGTCTCCTCTCACTCTGGTCTCCTCTCACTCTAGTCTCCTCTCGCTCTGGTCTGCTCTCGCTCTGGTTTGCTCTCGCTCTGGTCTGCTCTCACTCTGGTTTGCTCTCGCTCTGGTCTCCTCTCGCTCTGGTCTCCTCTCGCTCTGGTCTCCTCTCACTCCTGTCTCCTCTCGCTCTAGTCTCCTCTCGCTCTGGTCTGCTCTCACTCTGGTCTCCTCTCGCTCTGGTCTCCTCTCGCTCTGGTCTCCTCTCACTCCTGTCTCCTCTCGCTCTAGTCTCCTCTCGCTCTGGTCTGCTCTCACTTTGGTCTCCTCTCGCTCTGGTCTCCTCTCGCTCCGGTCTCCTCTCACTTTGGTCTCCTCTCACTCTGGTCTCCTCTCACTCTAGTCTCCTCTCACTCTAGTCTCCTCTCGCTCCGGTCTCCTCTCACTCTAGTCTCCTCTCACTCTGGTCTCCTCTCGCTCTAGTCTCCTCTCGCTCTAGTCTCCTCTCGCTCCGGTCTCCTCTCACTCTAGTCTGCTCTCGCTCCGGTCTCCTCTCACTCTAGTCTCCTCTCGCTCTGGTCTCCTCTTGCTCTGGTCTGCTCTCACTCTGGTCTCCTCTCGCTCTGGTCTCCTCTCGCTCCGGTCTCCTCTCACTCTAGTCTCCTCTCGCTCCGGTCTCCTCTCACTCTAGTCTCCTCTCGCTCTGGTCTCCTCTTGCTCTGGTCTCCTCTCGCTCTCTCCAAAGACCGAGATTGCCGCAGAGACCGAGACCGCCGCAGAGACCGAGACCGCCCGCAGAGACCGAGACCGCCCGCAGAGACCGAGACCGCCCGCAGAGACCGAGACCGCCCGCAGAGACCGAGACCGCCCGCCGAGACCGAGACCGCCCGCCGAGACCGAGACCGCCCGCAGAGACCGAGACCGCCGCAGAGACCGAGACCGCCGCAGAGACCGAGACCGCCCGCCGCAGACCGAGACCGCCCGCCGCAGACCGAGACCGCCCGCAGAGACCGAGACCGCCCGCAGAGACCGAGACCGCCCGCAGAGACCGAGACCGCATCAGTCCGAGACCGAGACCGCATCAGTCCGAGACCGAGACCACACAGCTCCTCAGTCTGGGCCACAAAGGCAGTGACTCGTTCTGACTCGAGTCTCTTTTGTTAAATAAACTGAGCGTCTAAAGGCGTTGGTTCAGAACCAGTTATTTACAGAAAAAGAAACTTAACATTATTCAAAACACTGTTACAGCCGTGGCCCTCTTCACCTTTGGCGGCCTCAATGTTTTCTGGATTTGTGTCTGAGATTTTGATTTTCTACTGTGTTTTTCTCCAACTACATCTTTCTATGTAACTATATGTGTATGCACGGCTTTTGACAGCTGCAGCAGCACTCAGCCGTTAGTACAGTGTGTGAAGGTTTTTACATCATTTCATAAACAAGGACCACAGAACTACTACACTTCTGTTTTCACGTCGGGTACGGACCTCATGTTGTTCTGTTCTGCAGAAGTGGTTAAGGCTCGATCAAGAAACGACTCTTCCACAACTGTTCAGTCCATTTCAGGCGACGCTAAAAGTCTCAAATCTATTGCAAGTTATTGTTTAAACAAACTGCAATTTACTTTTCTTCTTAAAGCTGCTCTACATTTGTAGTCCCAGCAGGAGGCCAGTCCCTGTGCTCCTCAGAGTCCCAGCAGGAGGCCAGTCCCTGTGCTCCTCAGAGTCCCAGCAGGAGGCCAGTCCCTGTGCTCCTCAGAGTCCCAGCAGGAGGCCAGTCCCTGTGCTCCTCAGAGTCCCAGCAGGAGGCCAGTCCCTGTGCTCCTCAGAGTCCCAGCAGGAGGTCAGTCCCTGTGCTCCTCAGAGTCAGGAGGCCAGTCCCTGTGCTCCTCAGTCCCAACAGGAGGCCAGTCCCTGTGCTCCTCAGTCCCAACAGGAGGCTAGTCCCTGTGCTCCTCAGTCCCAACAGGAGGCCAGTCCCTGTGCTCCTCAGTCCCAACAGGAGGCTAGTCCCTGTGCTCCTCAGTCCCAACAGGAGGCCAGTCCCTGTGCCCCTCAGTCCCAGCAGGAGGCCAGTCCCTGTGCTCCTCAGAGTCAGGAGGCTAGTCCCTGTGCTCCTCAGTCCCAACAGGAGGCCAGTCCCTGTGCTCCTCAGTCCCAACAGGAGGCCAGTCCCTGTGCTCCTCAGAGTCCCAGCAGGAGGCCAGTCCCTGTGCTCCTCAGAGTCCCAGCAGGAGGCCAGTCCCTGTGCTCCTTTGAGTTGGTTCATTTGGTTCTAACATGTCGCAGATGGACTTTGGTGCCTCTGACCGTGATCTACAGTTTAAAGAGACAGATTTCCATGAAGTGTAGTTTAACAAATGGAACAAGTTCAAAACTATGACTTCTCCGACACAATCTTCTCACATCAAGTAACAACCGTGACTCAGAAGTCTCCACACTCCTGTCTCCTCTCACTCTAGTCTCCTCTCACTCTAGTCTCCTCTCGCTCCTGTCTCCTCTCGCTCCTGTCTCCTCTCACTCTAGTCTCCTCTCACTCTAGTCTCCTCTCACTCTGGTCTCCTCTCGCTCCTGTCTCCTCTCGCTCCTGTCTCCTCTCGCTCTGGTCTCCTCTCGCTCTGGTCTCCTCTCGCTCTGGTCTCCTCTCGCTCTGGTCTCCTCTCGCTCCTGTCTCCTCTCGCTCTGGTCTCCTCTCGCTCTGGTCTCCTCTCGCTCTGGTCTCCTCTCGCTCCTGTCTCCTCTCGCTCTGGTCTCCTCTCGCTCTGGTCTCCTCTCGCTCCTGTCTCCTCTCGCTCCTGTCTCCTCTCGCTCTGGTCTCCTCTCACTCTAGTCTCCTCTCACTCTAGTCTCCTCTCACTCCTGTCTCCTCTCGCTCTGGTCTCCTCTCGCTCTGGTCTCCTCTCACTCTAGTCTCCTCTCACTCTAGTCTCCTCTCACTCCTGTCTCCTCTCGCTCTGGTCTCCTCTCGCTCTGGTCTCCTCTCGCTCCTGTCTCCTCTTGCTCTGGTCTCCTCTCGCTCTGGTCTCCTCTCGCTCTAGTCTCCTCTCGCTCTGGTCTCCTCTTGCTCTAGTCTCCTCTCGCTCTGGTCTCCTCTTGCTCTGGTCTCCTCTCGCTCTGGTCTCCTCTCGCTCCGGTCTCCTCTTGCTCTGGTCTCCTCTCACTCTAGTCTCCTCTCGCTCTGGTCTCCTCTCGCTCTGGTCTCCTCTCGCTCTGGTCTCCTCTCACTCCTGTCTCCTCTTTCTCTGGTCTCCTCTCACTCCTGTCTCCTCTCACTCCTGTCTCCTCTCGCTCTAGTCTCCTCTCACTCCTGTCTCCTCTTGCTCTGGTCTCCTCTCGCTCTGGTCTCCTCTCGCTCTAGTCTCCTCTCACTCCGGTCTCCTCTTGCTCTGGTCTCCTCTCGCTCTGGTCTCCTCTCACTCTGGTCTCCTCTCACTCTGGTCTGCTCTCACTCTGGTTTGCTCTCGCTCTGGTCTCCTCTCGCTCTGGTCTCCTCTCGCTCTGGTCTCCTCTCACTCCTGTCTCCTCTCGCTCTAGTCTCCTCTCGCTCTGGTCTGCTCTCACTCTGGTCTCCTCTCGCTCTGGTCTCCTCTCACTCCTGTCTCCTCTCGCTCTGGTCTCCTCTCGCTCTGGTCTCCTCTCACTCCTGTCTCCTCTTGCTCTGGTCTCCTCTCGCTCTGGTCTCCTCTCACTCTAGTCTCCTCTCGCTCCGGTCTCCTCTTGCTCTGGTCTCCTCTCGCTCTGGTCTCCTCTCGCTCTAGTCTCCTCTCACTCCTGTCTCCTCTTGCTCTGGTCTCCTCTCGCTCTGGTCTCCTCTCGCTCTAGTCTCCTCTCGCTCCGGTCTCCTCTTGCTCTGGTCTCCTCTCGCTCTGGTCTCTTCTCGCTCTAGTCTCCTCTTGCTCTGGTCTCCTCTCGCTCTGGTCTCCTCTCGCTCTAGTCTCCTCTCACTCCTGTCTCCTCTTGCTCTGGTCTCCTCTCACTCCTGTCTCCTCTTGCTCTGGTCTCCTCTCGCTCTGGTCTCCTCTTGCTCTGGTCTCCTCTCACTCTGGTCTCCTCTCACTCTAGTCTCCTCTCGCTCTGGTCTGCTCTCGCTCTGGTTTGCTCTCGCTCTGGTCTGCTCTCACTCTGGTTTGCTCTCGCTCTGGTCTCCTCTCGCTCTGGTCTCCTCTCGCTCTGGTCTCCTCTCACTCCTGTCTCCTCTCGCTCTAGTCTCCTCTCGCTCTGGTCTGCTCTCACTCTGGTCTCCTCTCGCTCTGGTCTCCTCTCGCTCTGGTCTCCTCTCACTCCTGTCTCCTCTCGCTCTAGTCTCCTCTCGCTCTGGTCTGCTCTCACTTTGGTCTCCTCTCGCTCTGGTCTCCTCTCGCTCCGGTCTCCTCTCACTTTGGTCTCCTCTCACTCTGGTCTCCTCTCACTCTAGTCTCCTCTCACTCTAGTCTCCTCTCGCTCCGGTCTCCTCTCACTCTAGTCTCCTCTCGCTCTAGTCTCCTCTCGCTCTAGTCTCCTCTCGCTCCGGTCTCCTCTCACTCTAGTCTCCTCTCGCTCTGGTCTCCTCTTGCTCTGGTCTGCTCTCACTCTGGTCTCCTCTCGCTCTGGTCTCCTCTCGCTCCGGTCTCCTCTCACTCTAGTCTCCTCTCGCTCCGGTCTCCTCTCACTCTGGTCTCCTCTCGCTCTGGTCTCCTCTCGCTCCGGTCTCCTCTCACTCTAGTCTCCTCTCGCTCCGGTCTCCTCTCACTCTAGTCTCCTCTCGCTCTGGTCTCCTCTTGCTCTGGTCTCCTCTCGCTCTCTCCAAAGACCGAGATTGCCGCAGAGACCGAGACCGCCGCAGAGACCGAGACCGCCCGCAGAGACCGAGACCGCCTGCAGAGACCGAGACCGCCCGCAGAGACCGAGACCGCCCGCCGAGACCGAGACCGCCCGCCGAGACCGAGACCGCCCGCAGAGACCGAGACCGCCGCAGAGACCGAGACCGCCGCAGAGACCGAGACCGCCCGCCGCAGACCGAGACCGCCCGCCGCAGACCGAGACCGCCCGCAGAGACCGAGACCGCCCGCAGAGACCGAGACCGCATCAGTCCGAGACCGAGACCGCATCAGTCCGAGACCGAGACCACACAGCTCCTCAGTCTGGGCCACAAAGGCAGTGACTCGTTCTGACTCGAGTCTCTTTTGTTAAATAAACTGAGCGTCTAAAGGCGTTGGTTCAGAACCAGTTATTTACAGAAAAAGAAACTTAACATTAACACGATAACTCCCGGAGCAGTCGATCTCAGGAAGCGTGATTCCTTAAAACTTGTTTGGTTAGTTGTCGATTCACCAACACAGATCAGAAAATCAAACAGTTTCAGAGATAAAAACATCTGTTGTTGGTGAATGTTCTTTTATAAATCTCACTTTCATCTCATGTCGAGGTTTGAGGTTTAGAGCCGGACTTCAGTTTTAGAATCTGAAATGTTCTGGATAAAAAAGTGATCTTGGTCTTAAATTGAAGCTTATGAAAATGGGCAGTTTTTAAAGAACGTTTGAGGTTTGAAACTTTTAACGTTTATTTCTCGGGCGGACAGACATTTTGTTTTTTTATATGTTGGTGGTAATATTTTTAAATATATTTGTAACAAACTCATCTTTTATTCCTAGTTTCCCCCATGTGTCAGGAGCCACCGTGCAAAATGTAGGTTAAAATGAAAATGTATTTGGCCCCTAAGTTATGGCCCTAAGTATGACATCATAAAATAATATTTATAAACCGGTAGCAAAACTGTGTGTGAGAAATCATTCAGAAAACTACTTTTTCAATGCTATATGTTTATTTATTTGTATCTTCTTCTTTCTCTGTCTGATCTATTCAAGTCCTGATGGTTTCATAAAGAGGCTGTGAGCAGGAAGTGGATAAAGCTGAGAGCTGCAGGTGAAGAGGTCCAAGCTGGTTTTTAAGTCGTACATTTTCAGACTCGTTCCAAAACAACATTTAGACGCAGAAGAGAAGAAGGTGTCGGACTCTCCTCCTCAAAACCTACAGCTGCTAACAGAACTGTTCTAGTCTGTGTGTTCCAAGGCTGAGAGTCCTTCCCCTTCGTCTCTCTCTGACCATGTGGCTTTGAACGTCCTGAAAATGTACAACTGCAAACAGCTGAATAAACTAGAAG